ATAACAATTATCGCACTAGTATCCATACTAGACCATTTGGAACCCTCTACAATCAAAACTACAGATTCGTTTGTGTTAGGTCATGATGGGAGACACGCAGCTAACCTAGAGTCGATTCCCCGGTAGTACCCACACTGGTTCTGAAATCATCCGCGAAACCTTCGAGAAGATCATCCAGACCCGAGAACAATTGAAAACTTCACGAGATCGACATAAGAGTTACGCCAATGTACAATGAAAACCTCTGGAATTCAGGTTGGAGATCATGTCCAGTTAATGGTCTCGCCCTGGAAAGACATGACACACTATGGAAAGCACAAAAAGCTTAACTAGTGGTACATTAGACCCTTAGAGATCCTCACTAGGATCAACCCCGTAGCCTTCGAACTTCGAGTACCTTCCGAACTTAGAAACATCTATCCTGTCTCCCACGTTCCTAATCTTTAGAAGTGCCTATCCAATGAAACCTTAGTAATCTCTCTTGAACAAATCGAGACCATAGGCCGAGAGAACAAACGTACGAAACAAAGCCACATCCCGTTAGTGAAGGTTCGCTGGACTTCCAAGCGAGAACCTAAATTCACTTGGGAGTGCGAAGACCTGATACAACAGAGACATCCGCGTCCTTCTCCATAACTTGTATCTTAATCTTTGAATTTCGGGACGAAATTCCCTCTAACAGGGGGATAATGTGACTACCCGAAGTTTTTCCATCGCCGCAACCCATTTCGTCCGTAAAACTCGTTTTAATCAAATTATTCCGATTTCGTGTTTGGATTAGGTCAATTAATTTAAGACTTTCATTTGACCTTGTATGTATCCAAACATGTTGGAAACATGTGAAAACATCCCAAACTAGTGATTAGAAAAATTTTAGTTTTGAACATGTCGGGTGATGACAACTTAATCGGGTGCGACCAAAAGCGTCGGTTAACATCAGTATCAGGTAGAATTCCACTATGTCTCAAATTCAAACCATATTTAAAGTGAATTAAGACTCATTTGGAGCCTTTTCACTCTCTCTCTCTAACCTCTCTCCTCAACTAAAGAATTTGGTCCAAAAATCGTCCATTTCAAGCCTCAAAACACCAAGGTAAACATCCTAGCTTCTTGTACAACATACTTAGCCTTAAAATTCGAGTTCAATTCATGATTTATGACCCTAAACATGTGTTTACAGCCCTAGAACACTCTTGGGCTGTGAACATATAAGTGGTGTTTTTGAGCCTCAAAACCCTTCCAAATCGCCATTAGAGCTTAGATATGGCTTAAGGACTTATTGGATTGGATTTAGGACACCTTAAACTCAAAATTTGAGGAGTAAATATGAGTTTATTGCCCAAGAACAAGCTTGGGCTGTAAACACCATTTCATGGAGAGTAAACTCCTTTTTGGGTGTAAAAATGCAACTTACACACCTCATAAGCCCTGGAATAAAATCTAGAAGCAAGCATGAGCAAATTAGAGGCCTAAAACATAAAGAAATCACCCCTCTAAGGAGTTCATGGCCATTAGGGGATTCATGGGCCGTAAACTCCTAAAATCATGTCAAATGATGCCTTTAACTCACCCATTGGCTTGTAAAATTGAGTAAAATCATTTGTGATAAATCATTGGCCTTCAAAACACTTAAGATTGATGTGGGTGAGAGTTTACGGCCATAAACACTTAGTTTACTTCTGTAAACTCATCAAATAGTCCATATGTTTGATTTAGTCCCTTCAAATGCCCTAGAACCAAACCTAGCAACACCTCACATTCGATTTAAGGCCATTTAGCACATAAGAACACCCCACCATGAGTTTACGGCCGTAAACTCATGGGGATGTGGTGTATAGGGCCATGAACACTCCCTAGAGTTTACTCTTGAAGATTAAACTCCGTACCTTAGCTATTCGTGTCCTGAAAAGTCAGTCGGGTCACTCCAAACACTTAATTTGAAGTGGTTTCGCGTCTTGGAGTGTATAATCGTATCTAATTAGTGTTTTAAAGTCTAATTAGATACATTTGTGTATAATTTAACATTATATAGGAAACTCGCACGTATTCAAGCCTCGATCCGACATTTAGGATCCCTGTCGACACATTTCTCGTCCAGTGAGTTCATACCCCTACCCTTTTTCAATGTTTTTCGCTGTTTTCAGGGGGGAATACAAGCAAAGTACAAGTAATACTTGTACTCAGAACTTATTTATAAGTGTTTTATTTCCTACTACATATGTTTTTAACACTGTTAATCACATCAGTTAACCGTTTGAACTTGCAGATTTCATTATCATAGTATTTGTGAAAAATGTTATAAATTGTTATATTTTATATTTTCACAAATGGTTTCCGTATTTTAAATAGATAAAAACATAATCTTTAAACAATGAACTAAAATCTTAGTATATCATTTTGTCCTTGGTAACACTCCATAGTGATATGCGAGTGGAGGAACGTCTTTGTAGATTTGTTATTCCTATAAATTGGAGACACGTCCTCGGTGAACACTCCACAGAGATACGAGAGTGGAGGACTACCTCTGTAAACTGAATCTCTTAGGTAGGGAGTGTGACTTGAGTGTATAGATCTATATGGGGCTGACTATCCCGCACCTGGCTGCTAGCTACAGCCAAACCGAAAAGGTTCAAAGGTGACAAAAGTCATAGGAATATTGGCATTCCTTTACCATGTCCAGTCTATAGTATGGTTATAGAACTCGCAATTTGGATAACAGAAGTTTACATTTTAAGTAATAATGGGTATAGGAAATTAATAACCATAAAAATTAGTTTATATGATATTTAAGTTTTCAGTATACATCTTTCACATTAGGAAAATATAGGATTTTCCTTGGGTAATCACAATTCATAACCAGAACAGTGTAACATAGCATAACAACTAAACTTTACTTTCAATATACATCTTTTATATTACATTTTTGGGTTGGTAACCAAACACACTTTACAGGGTAATCCGGTTTTCAGTATACATCTTTCACATTAGGAAAATATGGGATTTTCCTTGGGTTGTAACATTTTCATAAATGAAAAGGAATCTTGTACACTTTCATAAAAACAAACCGCTTATGAACTCACCAGCTTTATGCTGATTTTTAAAATGCTTGTATTCTCAGGTTCTACTTAGACAGGTACCCCGTGTCCTTTTGCAAAAGACAGAGCGAATGGAAGTCACGTCTTTCTTTTGTTTAAACTTATGTATCTATGAAAACTTGTAACACTTTACTTTTCAACTGATGTAATGAAATCTATGTAATGTAATGTTTTGTGTTTTACTTCGCTTACTATGTACATTGGTTATGATATTCACATGAAGTCACCTCCACCCCGAGATGTTTCCGCCTTCGGTTTCGGGGTGTGACACTTGCCCTCTGCATCGGACCAAAGTACAGAACTGACTAAACATAACATGACAGAATCATAACATATACCAATAACACATATACTACATACTACATCGGACCGCAGTCCGGAACACATAACACATAGACATGCCTGAATCACAAAGACATCAACCATACTGAACTATTTCTTGGGACCACCTCGGCATCAGACAGCAGTCCGAAACTACTACTATCCAAACGGGTCGGCATTGTAGCCATAGACTAGTTCCTACTGGAAGGAATCTCAACACACACTACTGAAGTCCTGCTGACAAAACCCTAGCTACTGCATAACAGATTCCCGAATCTGTCAATCATAAAAATAACACCCAATTAATAATTGGGTTCCAACTTATAACCATAAGTCCATACTTTGGGTAAAAGACTAGTTTACCCCTATCTTAGCTTGACTCAATCCCAAGGCCCAACTCAAAGGCCCAAAAGTCTAATAATGGACAAAGGCTTAACTATAACCCATTCATTCATTCTTGGTCCAACACATGACATTCTCATAGTCCAACATCTCATAATCATCACACTACAAGAAAAAGACCCTTTAACGACGCGCAAACCACGACACTCGGTGATTTATGTTACGCAAAAGGGAGTGATATTAAAAAAATGTCGTCTCTTCAAAAAATTTAAGGATTTATGTCATGCATTATTGTGTTCCCTTAGATTAGTGTCTCATGTAAAAAAATAAAAACACGGAGGACACTTTATCTAAAATGTGTGCCCTCTATGAATGTCGCATTATGTTTTACTCAAAAGACGTGTTCTTGAATGGAGGAAATGAAATCCCCAAAAATTAAAACCCCGCCTATTCCATGTGAAAAATTAAAACCCGCTCCTCTTAGTCTTCCTCTCTCTCTCTCTCTCTCTCTCTCTCTCTCTCTCTCTTTCTCTCTCTCCCTCTAACCTAAAAAGCCAACCTACGATTTCATAGAGATTGTTATTAAGATTTAAGAAGAAAATAAGAAGACAAGCAAGGATAATACTACTAGATTCCACAAAATCGCTGGGACTATGGCTTTTTTTTTCAAGAACGGAAACACTTGGTGCTCTTTGGCCTCTGCAACAATCAATCGATGCTCTCGCCTCACCTTGTCGGAAACATCTTTGCTCACTTCTCCTTCAACGACCTTAGGGGTATTCTCCTCCGGCGACCTCGGGCTCATGTGACCTCGTTAGAGACTGCTCAAATTTCCACACCCTAGCCCGACTAAGTAATGTTATTTTTATTCTCTCTTCCTAATGTTTTTTTCTTCTATTTCTTTAAACTCTCCTCTATTCATAGCTTTGATTTCGATTTTTGATCTTCTCATCTTTTCCTATGAAAACCCTAACTGAAAAAGTATGCAGGTTTCAATGGTGATTTCCTCATCATTCCACGGTCGTCACTACTACTCTCTAAGCATCTCAGGTATGCTTTGTTGCTTCTCCCTTATTTTAATTTTTCTTGTTTTATTTCTTAGGTGCGTTAGGGTTCGGATGTTTCACCTTTTCCTAAACCAAAATTCCGTTTATTCAAGTTACAATCTTCCGTGCTAAATTATATTAATGCAATGACATATTTCGGTTAGGTTTTCACAAGGTAAAATTTTAGGAATCGAAGATGGGTAGTTACAGTGATAACGGAGACGAATTTTTTGACGCCCATGAGGCGTTTGCTTCAATGTTGAACTCAGGCTCCGATTGCTCCCTGGAAGACTGTTCTACCTCTAGATTCGACTATGATTATTGGGTTGGGAATCTGGAAAAGGGGTTAGTGAACCATATGATGTTGTACATCACGCTACATAGCAACTTTAAGGGCATTTAATGTATTATACTACTTATGTACTCACAGTATGGGTTGAAACCTGTAACTTTACATGACAGAGTTTTCTTACAAACACACAAAAGAGCTTTGTTAGACGTATACACCTCTCATTTCAAGTTGAAACAAATCTATCTATCCCCCCCTTCTCATCCACGCACAAATGGTTGAATAGGTACCAGAGTGTGGAGTTGTAATGCAGTGTGTGGAAGAACTAATACCAATGAAGGTCAGTTTTATAACACATGCAAATGAAGGTTAGTTTTATAACATATTTTCTTTATTTCAGGTTTTATGATTGATTTCATTTCATTATCTTTTAACCATTTGTTATTAATTTTCAGATATCAAATACACTACATAACAGGTTGTGAGCATATAACAGGTCGTGAGCATATAACAGGTCTTAGGTCTTAGGCAGGTTCATGAGCAGGTTTGTGAGCATATAATAGGTCTCAGGTAATGGGTTGGCCAGGTCAGAATCTACATTTTAATTTATGGATTTGTGCTTGTTTTGTGTTAGTTTTTGAATCTCTCATTTTATACAGAGAAAAGCAAAAGTAGAAAAGAATCAAGCTCTTGAATACACGATGAGTCAGAACTCGTGTTAACTATGTGCAGTTGAAAAGCTAAGTTTTCAACCCCCGCCTATATAATGTACTCCTTGTGGTGCTCACATCAAGAGAAATGCTATATTCTAAGTATATATCTATATGTCTATATTCCAATTTCTTGTAGGGTTGTGCGCTGCAGTGGGTTCAATGTAACAGGTGTGAAGCCTGGCAACATCAAATATGTGCACTATTTAATGGTCGAAGAAATGATGGGGGGCAAGCAGATTATACTTGTAAAAATTATTATATGGAAGAAGTTGAAAGAGGAGAGCGGATGCCTCAACCATAGAGTTTTGTGCTTGGAGCAAAATATTTACCTCGAACCATACTCAGTGATCACATAGAGAGCAGGTGGTTTTGAAAGCTGAAGTAGGAGAGACTATAGCGCACAAGGTTCTATGGGAAAACTTATGATGAGGTGATGTTATAATCCCCCCCCCCCCTAAAAAAAAAGACAAATCCATACCATACATTGTGAATGAACAATAAAGTATGCATATTACATTTTCTTTATTATCAACTTCCTTGAGCAGAAGCACTTGTTGTCAGAGTGGTCTCTTCTGTGGACAAGAAGTTGGAAGTGTTGGATAAGGTGTCTAAGTCCATAACTATTTCTAGTATGTACTTGACCCGACCCGGCATGGTCCATTTGGGTTGCATGGCACCATGCAATTGGATAGACTAAATGAGAGAAATAACACTTGGAGATTATTAATATATTATAAGTTCTAATATATTAATAATATTATTTGATTAGTTTGATCAAGAATTAATTTAGAATTAATTATGTGATCAAAAGATAACTAATTAAATATATGGGTTGATTATGTAAATCATCCATATCTTGTATAGTGGGCTAAGAGGCTCCATGGATTATCAATTTGGGTTCCACCCATTGGATGCTCCATGGATGCTCCATGGGAGTTACAAACCCATGGGTCATGGAAATGAAGAGTCATGACACATTAGGGTTTAACCCTAGATGTGTCAACACTATATAAGAAACATATTCTCCACCAAAATCGGTTGACACAAAGAAACAAGAGGGCTTGGCCGATTTTTGAGAAGTGTGTGTTCTCTCATAAGTTCTCCCAAGAGCATTTGGTGTTGTGTGAAGCATTTGAGGCATCACACTTGGGGTGCTAGGCTCACAAGGTTTCAAGGAACACAAACAACAACAAGGTAAGTTATTCTATCTATACTTTAAGTTAAATTTGTTCCCCATGTATGCTAGATAGGAATATAACCTTGGAATTCAACTTTTCATGATAATTAGACAAACATAGATCCAAGGTTATTAGGGTTGCATGTACACTTAGGAAGTGTTAGAATGCTCAAAACCCATCAGGAAGTCAAGCAATGATTTCTTGAGATCTTTCAAGAGGAAAATTACCCTGTGGAATTTGGGTATAAGTCTATGGTATTTCAAACGTAATACTTTTGTTGATTTGTTTATTACAACATCTTTCCCTACATATCTTCCTATTACAATATTAAAAAAAATGTATTTTTTTTTTTGTCCCCAAAAACAAACCCATCTTGAAATTTATCGATTAAGATGATCTTAGGGCGTGTTTGGTTTATGGATTCCAACATAATCTAAAGGAATTGGATCTTGAATTCCATTACTGGAAATGGGTGCTAAGAATTGAATTCCATACTTTTTTTTCATTAAATGCCTAAATTGTCCTCACAAACACATCTTTTTTTACTTTCTAGTTTCTTGAATAAGTTTACAAACCAATCTAAATTCCATTATGGGATATGTTCGGTTTATGGATTCCAACTGAATCCAAAGGAATTGGAATCTCGAATTCCATCACGGGATGTGTTCAGTTGTGGTTTCTCATATAGCTTTTTATTTCATTTATTACCCAAACATGGGAACACTTCTTGGTGTATGTACGAATATTGTTATATTATTAATTTATTACTACAAAATATTTTGTAAAAAAGATTTAATTGATTCAAAAAAACTGTCAATTTTCAGGTTATAACAACCGATGCTTGTGTAGATACTGACATCTAGCAAAAGATGGTACAGGTTGCTGTCAAGGGGTAACTACAGGTTTATTATAACTGGGTATTGCCCTATTTGATAGAGCCAAACTCCATGGATGCACAAAGGAAGCTGAAGAACTATGGAAATAAGAAACAAAGAATTATGAAATAGCTGTCAAACTAAACTGGAGCAGTCGACAGGTAACTTTAAAAAAAAAAAAGATAAGTAGCTCTATTTCATTTGTAAATGCTCTGCTTCTTGTTTATGACTTTGTGATGAAATTAAATTCAGTCTCTTAACAACTGGGGACTTGCTTTACAGGTGCTTCATTAAAAACTTTCTAATATACTCCTAAACATTTTATATGTTTTATTTATGTACATTGATTAACATCAATATTGGGTGTCATAGGAATTAAGTGCAATTGTTCCTGCCCGTGAAAAACATACTATAGTAAGAAGTGGAATCAGTAAGGTAAACAAATATTATAAAAACTTCACCTTTTTACATATAATTTTTCACCATGAATGGATTGTTATTAACCACATTTATAACCACCTATGAAGTTTTGTGCAGCAATACAGTTGCAATTTGACTTCTACAGAGCAATTTACAACCTTGGCACTGTTCTGATCAGTTAGTTTATGTAATCTTTTTCCCAATATAATAAAATCATTGTATACTATTTATGAAATTTGATAATTTTGTCATGAATATTCTTGTTTTGTTGTAGTATGGATTAGCAGAAGACACATCAAAGAACTGGAGTACCAGTTGTTGGGAATAAGATTCCTTTTAACGAATTATACAGTCAATCTGCTATCTATATAGCACGGGATGGAGAATGGGAAACATGTGTGATAGAGGTCTGTATGTTTGTTTTTTTTTTGGGGGGCAGAAGGGTATTTAAGGAAATGGGAAATTATGCCGGTGACAGTGAGTGGTGCAGGGAGTGAAAGTGAAGCAGTAAAGATTGCACGTTCGGTGGCATCTTCTTCAGTTAGCAAGGCATGATGGCTAATATGTTGTTATTCGAAGGTGAAATAACTGTTTCCAATGATATAATGATGATTTTTTATGGTATGTTTTATCAGGTGATAATTTATGGTAGGGATCCAAATTGGGGGCAGGCAGCCTGTGCTGCAGGGTATGCAGGGATTTGTTTTGACTGAAATGCCCTTAGAATAGCACTTTGAGATATTCTACATATCTAAGGAGGCGAACCACTTCCATTTGATAGGTAACAGTAACACCATACATGATACATGATACATGATAATTGAAATACTGAAAATGTGGGAGTGTTCCAGGTCAGCAGCTAGTAATTACCTGAAAGAGGCGGGTGATGCTCATAGCACTGTCAAAATTCAAATATCCATAGGTAACTTTATTATTAAGTCATTCTTTCTGCATTAAATCAAAAAGAAACTTGTGTTATTTATTTGTTTATTTTGGGTGGAACGTGAACAGGGTAACTTTTTGTTTTACGACACGAATTGTTATTTGTAGTTGAAAAAATCGGATGGAAGGGAACAAAGGAAGAATATGAGGACGAGGGGGATTATGAACAAAAGTTGCATTCAACTACAAATAAAAACTCGGGATAATTTATACTTTTGTGTGGTACATGTTTATTTTTTAGCATCAGTCGTGGATATGTTACCTGAAGTAAGGCCAATTTATCTGTATGAGAAAAGTCTTGAGAAATTAAGAGCTGAAAGTTGTAATAAACTCAAAGTAAAATCTTACTATTACGAAACTCTTTTGGTTAAACCTACCTTATTGACCTGTAGTTGATTACACATTAATTTAATTATGCAGGATTTTAAGTTTTTGATGGAAAAGAATAGTGTTAATGCTCTTCATAGAAAAGTATTTTGGTATTTTACGAAATTTGGCTAATAATTTAGTTAATTATATAAAAACTATTGAAATGTTACATTTGTCTATTATTGGAATGATTATTTGATGTATTAGATTTGTCTACTATTAGAATGATTATTTGTATGATATTAATTTTTGGGCAATGTATTGTTTTTTTTGTATATGGTATTTTATTTTCTATTATGAGACGTGAAATGCAAATTTAATTTGAAAATCAGTAAATCTATAAATAATTTTTTTTAGATAAAAATTAAAATTACAATACGCAAAAATGTGTGTCGTCTTCATTTATGACATGGCCTTTCTTGACAGGGGCTTCCTTGATACACATTGTGTGTCATAAACACGCGCGTCGTAAGGTACGACACGCAAATGCGTGTCGTCTTCCTTTGTGACAGGGCCTTCCTTGATACGCATTGGGTGTCATAATCGTGTGTCATAATTGCGCGTCGTCTCTCATTATGACAGGGCCTTCCTTGACGCGCATTTGTGCGTCATCTGAGCATTGTACGACGCACAATGAGCGTCGTTAAAGGCTGTTTTTCTAGTAGTGTCAAGTCCCAAATTATGGCGCACCTATGGCCAAATTTTCCAAATTGATCCCAAACCCTCTCATGGGTCTTACTCTAGGCCCATTAAATTGTTCTAAGCCCAATTGCTTGTATTGGATGGCTCATTATCATTCCAATCGTCAAAGCCCAATAGAAAGGCCCCAATACAAAGTCCAAGTGAAATTAGGGTTTCACATAAAATGACAATTAGGGTTAATTTTTTCTCACTTAACCCATTAAGGACTTAATACATTAAGTCCTTTACTCTACTAGGTCCAAGGCCCAAATACTCACAATTAGGCTTTTCTAAACCCTAATTAGGGTTTCCACTCAAACATGGCCGAATAGGCCCAAAACTAATCCGTAAGCCCATTAGGGTTTTGCTAAGTTCATTAGGATTTTGCTAGTGGGCACCACCCACTACCACCTCGAGTAGTGGTGGTTAATGACTCCTCACGGCGGCGGCCACCACCTTACGGTGGTGGTGATCATTATTTTTATTATTAACCAACGCTAACTACAATTACAATGTTTAATCCAAACATAAATGCACACACAATCTAACACACACTAACTAACACACACACACACAACCACACCATGGTGGCCGTAGGCGGTGCTTGGCGGCAGCCACCACCTCACGGTGTTGGTGTTGGTGGCAGGTCTAATGAATTTCAGCCAGTGACACTACACCCAACATCCAATTAACAACAGAACATACCCACACTTGGGCTTCGGTCTTGAAGAAGGCACTGTGACAATGGCGTGAAGAAAGGACCATTGAAACGAACTGGTGGTAGCGACGGAGCCTTATACGGCGGCAATAAGGTAATGGCCACCATGGGGGCTGCCATGGTGGTTCCCACGCTTTTCCGGTCAACAAGAAGCACGAACGCACGAACGGAGACAAGCTGAGCAAGGGAAGCGCACCCCAATCACAACCACCCTTGCGGTGGGTCATGGTTGTCGGAAGAAAGGACGTAATGGACAACCTCCTCGTTAGTTGAATAGGCGATGACGACAGTGGCTTGCTACACTCATGACGATGGATGGCATGCAACAACAGCGTCTATCGACAGCAACAGCAGCTCTAGCGGCCGGAGATGGCGGCTCAGTGGTTGGAGAAGCAATGTAATAGTAGTTGCGATAGCATGAAAGCTTCTAAGGTGGTGGCGGTAACTTCGTCACCTGCTTGGTCATCTTCGGTGAAAAAGATGCAACGGTTTGCAGCTGCAGATAGGGAGGGAACAGTGGTGGAGAGCTGGCAGCGGTGAGGGAGGTATAAGGGGGGGGGGGTGGGGAAGAAGGTGACATCTGCTACTCTTCAGCTAGGGTTAGGGATACAAGATTCCTTAAATACTCGCCTCCGTTAACACTTTCCCATAATAGCAAAACTAGCCCCTCCAACTTCTTTTTCTTACAAAATATGACCATAAGTTACCCTTTAACCCCCATCCAATTAAAATATCTTTAAAAGAAGTAAAAAAACTTACCAAACAGCCCCTTCGCCTCTAAAATCTTTTCAAAAGAAGTCCCATTAATTACCATTTAGCCCTTGCATTCATAAACACTTACAAAACTAATCTGGAACTTACACTTTCAACCCTCAACTTCTAAAATTCTTCACAAATTAGTTCGAGACTTTCATTTATTAATTTATTTAAATAAACGGGTCGTTACAACTCTCCCAAACTTAAATTAGATTTCATCCTCAAAATCATGCCTTTCCATTCCTTACACGCCCACCCAGTCTAGTAAAATGGTCACCATCCTTAGCGCACCCTAGTCGTTCCCAAGGTACCCGTAACCATCCTTCGCAAGGCCCTAAATTCTGCAAGTGAATGGATTTCTGGAAACAACATCACATCTACTCCATCTGAAATCTATTTTATCGAGATGGTCTAAATCCACGACAGACCACTCATACTAAAACATTATAGATGAACCCTACGGTGGGTGACTTAGGATTACTCAGCAATCTGTTACGCTTACCGTACATGGGATCCTCAAAAATCATTACTCTTGGAGACCCAAAACTTTCTAAAATACTAATCTACCTATAAACACTAAACTGCCAGAAACACTGACTGCTTTCAAACTATACTGCTCGAAACACTAAACAACCTGAAACACCATGTTGCTACATGGCTGCTTTCCAAAATCTATCGAGACCTTACTGGTCTCAATTCATTCATCAGTCATCTGAAATACCATGTTCCAGCCCGACTGTGAAGCCAAAGGACTCCCTACTTAGTCGCCTTAAATGACTTCTGAACGAAATCCTTCTATGGAACTAGTTGCTACTAGTTATGTTGTCATTGTGGCACTAATGTAATTTTGATCTAACTGATTGGTTCCATGTGTAAAATCCCGACATCGTCAAATCCAAGACTAAAAGTGATTGCTACATGACCAAAGATAGCCTTAAATCACAAACGACCTCACATGGTCCATTGCTTCTTTAATCCCATAACTATAGTGGCGATCCTACAGGTTTATTACTTTCCCAACCATATCTAATCCATCTGGGTAATTCCAATATCCAATCTATGGATTTCCATAACCTCACTACTACACCGGAACTGGTGGGTACTACTATTCTTTCTGCGTCCAAACAACGCACTCATGCTATCTACCAACCTAGTGAATGCTACGGCTACACCCACAGACTTACAACACTCTATCACTTTCTTGCTACTAGTGAATGCTACGACTACTCACGCAAACTTACAACACTCTAATACTATCTGGATGCTAGTGAATGCTACAGTACACCCACATACTTTCAACACTCTAACACTATCTGGCTGCTAGTGAATGCTACGGCTACACCCGCAGACTTACAACACTCTACATTCTGGATCGAACACACGCTTGACCCGCACTCAACTGAACTTTTGTCCTGACTGGAATCCCAAACCTGATTTCCTAAGGCTTTATAGCAAACATTATGGGAATGGTGTCTCCTTATTGGAATTGTTTTCTAAACTTCCATCTCACACTACCCTCAAACCATACAGCCACTTGGGTTATGTTCCTTCTTGACAAGGATGCGAGGTTGCCCCAATTTCAAAACTCCTCCTACTTCTGAATCCGTGGATGATTGTTCCACACATTGATTCATCTAACGTCTTATAGCACACGATACTGGAAGGATTCTTAATCATTCTTACCATTCTATGCCCAATTTGTTGAAAACCATGCTTACCATTGCTAGTGTTTCAATACTAGCTAGTCCAAAAGATGACACCACCTCCCGAAAAATAAAATTTCTGGTAATAACCTGCTAGACCCAGGAAGCTCCGAATCTCAGTTGGAGACATCGAAATCTAGCACTGCATCACGACCTCTATCTTGAATTTATTGACTAGTACACCCTTCTGGTTGACAGGGTGCCAAGGAATTGCACGTCGCGCAACCAGAACTCACATTTGGAGAGCCTTGCAAAAATTCTCTCCCTTCTCAAAGTCTTTAGCACATCCCTCAGGCTATGCAGTCAATAACAGTGGGATTGTAGTGAGATAGCGGTGGGATAGTGGTTATCAGTAGGTGGTAAAATATTGGTACTAAATAGTGGTACCGCAAATAGTGGCGATAGTGACCGATATTTGACCGCTGTTTGACTGATATTTGACAAATATTGGTGGGATAGCGGTGAAATAGCATTTATAGCTAAATTTTTTATTAAGTCATCTCATTCATTATTAAAACGTAGATATATGGTGGGGGTTTATGAGATTGATAAACATTTGCTTCAAACATTTTCTAATTTACTATATGTTTTAGTTAATGAACATGTATTCATCCAATAAAACACAAGGTTAGAAAGGCCCTATATAACCTAAAAATACCGATATCCCACCAATATCCCACCACGATAACCTATATATCAAATATCGGTCCTTGACCGATACTTGATTTTGAACCGCTATAACTGCATAGCCCTCAGGTGCTTCTCATGATGCTCCTCAGTGTTGGAATAAACCAAGATGCCACTGTACTCTCCCATTCCCGGGATTTGGGATATGATCTTTCACTATCCGACAATAATTCTCAGTATGCAATTGGCATATGACATTTCTTGGAAGTATAATTCAAACACAAAAAGAGGATAACCCAGAGTCACACTTACTTAAACCCTTGGAACGAAAGACTCTATTGTGCAGTTTCCCACAAGTGCCATATTGAATCTAACCTTGCTGGTCTCTCAAAAGTTGATCCAAAATCTAGTGTCTTCTCCTGAGACACCTCAATATAAGAAACTCATCTAATTCCTTATTACCTATGTGCTCCAAGTCCATATCTCATTCTGAAGCTCAAGAAGTCATATCATTCATGGTCTTGCACCCCGGTATACTCAGGATCTCCCTGATATCATTATATAGTATGTTCTGATAACTTACCTTCCTCCTTTCGCTCATTTGCTGCATACTATGGTGTCACACCCCGCTAAAGCGGAAACGCAAGGTATGACAGCGATAACGGTTTCAATGCAAAAGATAAAGATACATC